TTTCTTTTATGATTTTTTGTCATCTTAAAAATGAAATACTACATATGTTTTCAGCCGTTTGATTACATTGGGAGGTCCATAGCAACAACGTGAGAAATGCATCAACAAGTTCCAATAATTGAGAATAATGAACGACTAATTTTGAACAAGTGAGTTAGTTTTTTAGAAGACAATTAAGACAAAACTAAACAACATAAGAAAAAATTAAACAATATTTAGCATAGAAAAAAGTATATTCTGAAAAAAAAAACGATATTTGGAAAAAAAACAAATATCGAAGAGATATGCATGAAATTTGAATTTTAACAAAATAATAGAAAAATATGAAATCAACAAATGTCAATTTTCTATTGGGCCATGTTATAATAAGGAGGATGGTGGTTTTGAATCTTCAGAAGGCAAATTTTTTTTTCCTATGGAAAACAAAGCCGAAACTCATGAATTTAACTGCATTTTACTCGAGGGCAATCAGAAATCAAGGTGATTGCTGCAAATGGGGATAAATATGCATAGTCATTGATTAGTTTCTTTATGCAACATCTTTCATATCATTTCTATATAAGTAATACAGTTTAAATGCATGGCTGCTGCTATCCATGAGCTAAAGAGTTGTGCTATCAGTGCAGATCTATTTTGCTGAGGTTGGCTACAAATGTTGTTGATGTGGTTGGACCGTGGCGATTGTTGATTGTTGGAAGTTGTAACGAATCTTGCCGCTGGACGTAGTAGAAGCACGCACTAGAAATTGATCAAGCAGATCTCCATGACAATTTTTAATTAAAAACATTTTTGAAAGTAATAAAGTGGGATGGAATCCATTACCTTTTAGATTTTGTGTACTCCATGAGATCTTCTATGATCTATAACAAATTGGTATGTGGGCACTTCTTGGGAGTCAAAGAGAAGAACACTCGTTTACTGGCTACTAGGGAAGTGAGGATAACATTAGCATGCCCTAAGATTTGGCTGTCTTTTTATATAAACTTTGAGCCAGGCTCAAAACTTCAACGGCGAAAGAAGCCATCCATAGAAAGATTTGGCACCGCTCACTAAATTCTGAAATCTTAATAGGTTAATTAATTATGAAAATAAAAAAATCACTAGTAGAAAAGTAGTCTTCCATGACACCTGTGAACACTAAAAAAGTTTGGAGGAAAAAAAACTGTCATAAATTATGGGGGCGCGTTTTTGGCGGGAAAAAATGCTATTTTTCGGAATTTGTAAGTTTTATGACATTTAAAAATTGTCACGAAAACCGAATTTTCAATGACAGTGAAAACTGTCACGAAATGGTGGAGGCGCGATTTTGGCAGGAAAAAACAGCAATTTACAAAAATTTTCATGCTTTTATGACATTTAATAATTGTCAAGAAAAATAAAAAAATTTCAAGTATTTCGTAACAATTACCTAGATCATCTTGAGAATTTATGACATAAAAAAACAAATGATTTTGAGCGAGTTTCATTTCTATCAGAAAAACTGCAATTTTGTTAACGATATTAATTATTTCGGGATTCTCCGGTCGCATCGAGTATAGATTTATGCTTAGTAGTTTCTCCAAATACTCCATGAACAAGTAGAAAATGGTATTTCGTATAGTAGTATGTTTATCCTGCGTAATTGTGTCATTCCTCTCTTCGGTCCCAAGTTTGAGCCCTATGAATTTAAATTATTTTTTCAACCCTCTATTAATATATTTTTATAAAAATAATATAAGTTAATTATAGTTTCACCAAGCATTTCGTAAACAAAATATTCATATTTAAATTATACCCCAGTTTTTTTATTGAAATGAAAGGTAGTCAACTTAATCCAATGCTTAGGAATTATTTTGGGTTTAAATTGGAACTAGTTAGGTTTGTTGGAGACTACTTATCGCCGGCTACGTGTCGACCAAAGAAAGGTATTGTCAATTTAAGAATATCTTTGATCATGATACTGTGTGCAAGTCTCTTCAGGTCGGAATATTTTGTTGAGCTAAACTGTTCATTATATTTTATCGACCGACCTACGCGAAGATGTCCGCAGGAGTGTTGAATAACACATTAATCAAACAACACGTCGCGTTTTACGAGTGGTCGGATGACAGTTAAGCCATTATCGGGAGTCTTGTCGGAGATCATCTCTATAAATAGAATTCAATTTTATTATTTATCATATCTTGTTTGGAACAAAAATAATTTGAAATGAATATAATTAAATTTAGTTGTTTGGATGTTGGTTGGATGATTGAGTTTGATTTTTTGGTTTACACAAAATAACTAGTTCAACTCAACCGAAATTTTTTTATTCAAATATCATTTTTACTACAAGAAATTGTCGTTGCCTTTGTAGACGTACAATTTTCACTTTTTGAAATTTTTACATTTTCTGTAATGCCCGCGTTCTCTGGCTCGTTTATTTTAAGACTTATTTGTGCCCTTGGATTTTTCTTCTAAGCTGATATTTAATTTCATGCATTTTCTAAATTGGAGTTCTAATTTTATGTTTTAAATTTAGTTAATCTTTTAGATAAATTTTCCAAATCATTTTTAGAGAGAGTTCTTAGTGGGAAAGGACTATGGAACGTTCTTCTTTTTTTTTCTATAAGACCTTAAACATTACTTTGTGTTACTATTTTAGTTTAATTGAGCCCATTTATTTTTGGTGAAATAAATAAAATAAAAAGAGAAAGGGAAAGAAAATAAAAAGGAAAAAAAATGAAGGAAACCTAGCCCCCATCTCTTTCCCCTTCCTTTCATGTGTAGCCACCCACATTCTTGTTCTTCTTCTTCTTCCTCCATAGCAGCCTCCATTCTTCTTCATCACCGGCGGCGACTCCACAACAGTATTTCCAAGCGGACAGCGATGTGAACGAACCCTGTGGCGGCGTGACCCTCGGGTTGTAGCATTTTTGGCACCGGCGCGATAGAAACAAATGCCCAGATATGACGTTCTTCGACGACCCAGCAGTGCGTGCGGCTCCTTTTGGCGTGTTACGAGCAGAATGGATAGTTTATGCTTAAGATCCAACGAACGTACGGCGGCACAACCATGGCAGATTCGCGAAACCCCCGTATAGCAAATATTTGGCAACAGCGCAACCTCATCCAAGCACGGTTTCCGACGTCACCGCTTCTCCACGCGTTGATCTATGGTGTCTTCAAGCAGGCTCGAAGTTTTCGTCATCGAACTCGTCAACCAGAAGCAGTTGCAACGATTTGGGGCGATTTGTAGCAGAAATCGAGGCAGTTCGGGGTGTTTTTCCGGCGGCAGCGACGTCCCCGTCACCTAGACCGCGCACAATAGCGTCGATAGTTCGTCTCCCTTGCTGGATTTCATGGACATCAGCTTTTCGGTGGTTTTTCGGTGCTTACCCACACCCAATTCAAGCCTAATTTGCGTTACGCATCACTTTTTGGCATGAACCCAGCAAGCTCGGGCATTTTCTGTAACGCCCCGCGTTCTCTTGCTAATTTACTTTAAGACTTAATTTGTCCCTTTGAATTTTTCCCCTAAGCTGATAATTTAATTCTTGGATTTATTTTTTTAATTTGTAGTTCTAATTTTGAGTAAATTAGACTTAAGTTTATTTTCGTTAAATTAAGATAAATTAAGTTTTCGAACTTTGGGGGAGATTTTTAATTAAATCCGTTGTTGGGAAATTTGATTTTTAATTTTTGGATTCTATTCTTAGGTTTTAGAATTTAAGTTAATTATTTTATGTTGGGTTGTTGTGGGTTTTATTTAGGAATTAATACATTGATAGCCTATTTAAAAATCATAATTACATAAAAGGATTGAAATGTATAAACTTTATACTCTTGTCATGAAAAACACTAATTAGGATGATACCCATCACACAAATTAGTAGTATATCTTTTTAAAGATCCACCTCAATATTAAATAATTTTTAAAATCTAAATTGGGAGGTTACAATTTAAATCCTTAAAATGTATTTAATTATACATTCCAAAATAAAAAAAATCCCAAAACCCTAAAAATCTCCAAAACCATCCATTTTCGAACCCCCTCTCTTCTTCCTCCGACCTTCCGTTTTTCTTTTCTTCCTCCGACCGTCCGTTCTTCATCTCTGATCGTCCGTCTCTATCTGYCTTCCTCTCCGGCCGGCTCCATTTTTCTCCGTCACCCATCTCCGTTCATCCCGTTCGAAAGGAGATTTCCATCCTTCCTTATTCTCTGATGGATTCGCATGCCTTCGTCTCCACGGATGTCTATCTACCTTCATCTCCGGTCGCCTCCGTTTTTCTCCATCGCTAGAGCAGTTCGTTTCCGTTTATCCCGATCGAAAGATTTGCATTCCAATGGTTGTTTTCGATTTCTGATTTCGTGTGAACCATTGTATATATGAGGATATATATTACAGTGAGTTTGATTATGATATATCTTATAACTCAACTTGTATATATGTGGATATGCGGATATATACTATAGTGATTTTAAATGTATATATGCAGATATATAAGTGGATATATATTGTAATTTTGAATATTCGGATATATGTTTATTAAGACTTCAAAAGATGTTTGTGTGATTTTGAATTGTCCTTGAAGATTGAGTACCAATGTGGGAGTGAATTAAGGGAAAATCAATCTTTTTGAAGGAGTAAATTAAGGTTTTGAAGGAGTGAATTAAGGGATTTGAGTTGAAAATTAGTATGGGCCCGCAGTAATTAAAAGATTATGATAATAATTAATGGAATCAAATATTTTATATTTCAAAAAAACAAATAACTATAATAAATGTAAATGCAATAAATAAGGGTAAAATCGAAAATTAAAATAAAATCATACATGCAGAAATYTAAAAATGTAAAATTAGAAAATTTTAGACGTTTGTGTAAATAAATTTTTAAAACAGTCATCCAAAAGACGTTATTTCTTTTATTTAACTACTAAAGTGTTTTTTTCAGGATTTTGTTTTGGGCCTTCTATAACAGTTCAGAATTTGGGTTTTTCAGTTTAAAACAAAAATCAACGAAGTTGAAATAATAAGAAAACAAAACAAAAGGAAATTAAAAACAAGGAAACCCTAGGTCTCCCATTCTTCCTCTTCCTCCCTTCTTCCTTTTAGAGCCGCCGCCCCTTGTCAGTTTTTCGGCCACCCGATTACCAGGACAACACCTGCGACGGAGTTCCTCCGACGTTCCTGCAGTAGAAATCTACAAACAACAGCAGTGGCGGCGAGTTCTGCAACAAAAAATCGACGAATCGACGCAACGCTCATGTTTTCGGCGAGATCCCGCTACCAAATCAGCAGCATGATCTCTGCCCACGAGTGGCGGACTATCTTCGTCCTCCGGCGTCGGTTTGATTCCGACCCAAACGACGATGGAGCGTGACCTCGCTGCAACGGCGGCGCTCGTTCTGCATAAGATGACCCCGCAGCGACCCATGAACCCATGGCTAGCACACGAACGTAGCATTCTAGCACTTTAGGCGCTAACCCACACTCTTTTGATGCTTGGTTTGAGTTACCCACCCCTACAACTTTGTTTCGACGTTGACCCACCCCTATTCGGACTCAAACTAGAGTTACACATCGCTTTTCGACATCGGACCAGCAAGTTAGAGCCTTCTCGAACTCAGTTTTGCAGTGCCGAACCCATCCGACATCGATCCAACAAAGACCCAAATTGTTTCAACGAGATTTAGTAGGTAACGAATCGCCTAAACCTTCTTTCCAATTGGATTTAGGTGTTTCTAATTGGATTCTAACCCAAGTTTGGTCTCTTGTGTTTAGGTCTTGAATGTTAAGGTGTTAGTGATGCGTTAGGATCATTTTGTAAGTAATTCCTACTTGGAGGGATGTTTGTTGTATGGTGTATGTGTTGTTGCTTTCTTGCCTATATGCCTTGGTTGATTTACGTTCTTGTTACTATTAATATTGGTAATGGATGATAAATTATTTGAAATTCGTGTTTGTCATTATGAGTAGGTGTGTTACTTGATTATATGTGATTGCGAGTCTGTGTTATCGAGGGTAGCTAATGTATTGATTTCTAATATGGATATGTTGTAGTTGGATATGACGTATATAATATTGTTTGGTATCATGGGATTGTTGACGTGCTTTGACTGAATGTGTTTATAAGCTTTGATTGTCTTATTAAATCCTGCTGGCGTTGTTGTGGTTTAATGTTTGGAATGATCCCTTGAAAACTTAATGTTTAGACTATAAGTTGTTTGGGACATGGATGCTGGATTTCTTTGTTTGAGTCTGAAGATACTAAATGTTGAGAAACAAATATGGATGTGTTGCTGAATTGTGGTAAGTTGAAAGAAGCTATGTTTGTATTGGGTATATTACATAATGGAATATTGTGTGATGCTTGATGCTTGAGGCATGGCATAGAAGGCATGCTGCAGGACTTGTGTGTAAGAGTTGTTCTGTTGAAGTGATGGGTGAGTATTAGGGCCAAGGGGCTGATACGTCACTAGTTGCATGTCAAGACCTCAGGTAAAATGGTCGGGGATCGATGTAATTAGTCTAGTTGGTATGCAAGTATTGGAGCCTTGGGTAGAAACAGTCAAGGGCCAATACATTGCAAAGTCGTCGAGGCCTTGGGTAAATTGGTCAAGAGTCGATGCAACAGTTCGAGACTTTGGGTAAAATGGTCAAGGGTCGAATGCTAAGCGTTGTAGAGTAGTATCGAGGCTCTGGGTAAAATGGTCAGGGGTCGGCATGACTCGAAAGAGTAAGTCTTTGAGGAATAGGAAGGTTTAGAAGGAGTTAGAGAGCTTCTAGGAAGGTTTATGGTGTGAGACTTGGGTTTTGGCATGTAGGTTGCACGTTTAGATATGTTTTTATTCCTATTATATGTAAAGCATGATGATTTGTTAAGCATGTCGTTTTAACTCTCTTGATAAGAGTGTTGTTTGTGCGTAACCCTTCGAGTAAGGGATGCTTTAACATTTAGATATGCTTTTAGTTTGGCTCCCCTTTGTTGAGCTGTTTTTTTATGCTATTTTGGTTTTTTTTTTTCATTCATCTCAATAAAAGCTCGACTTTTCAAAATAAAAAAAAATACCCCTTTACCATTTGTAATTGCTGAAAGCAAGGAAAGTTGCTCTGCTACCTTCATAACACCGTGAATTTCTTGAAATATTATACACATTGCACCCAACTGCAGAATTGGCTCATGATCCTTTGTTCTGTATTTTATGTAGGTATGATTATTCTGGCTATGGACAATCAACTGGAAAGGTATCGTGTCGTTTCTCCATTCGTTCCAGTTTGTAAATTTATTTTAGTATTGTCTACCAAATATCTATTTATTTTGGATGTTTCTTTCTAAGGAAGTTACAAGTAATGAGTCAATGTCATGATGTAGTTGTGCTTTGATATTTATAATTATATAGATTCATTTTTCATGTTTTGGCGGTCGCTTATTTTAGGACTATTAGCTAAGCCTACTTCTCATCCATCTTTAATACTTAATGGAACTGTTGGTTTGTTCCTCTAGTGAAGTGCATATAAAATTTTGCTTATGTTTCGACTTATAAGTACATCAATTTTTGTAAATAATTAATACTTTGTGTGTTCACTGTTAAATATAACTTTTTTATTAGATTATTTTCTTTCAACACTGATACATTCTGAAGTCTGGACTAATATGTTTGAGTATGTAGCTGAGCGTATAGCTGTTTTGCACATGAACTTCATGAAAATGAATTCATTCCCTTTGCGCTTATTTCAATTGGATAATTGTGTGGCTATCCTGCGGCAAAGATAGCCAATTAAGACTTATTGTTTATATTTGTGTCATGCATATGGTTTAAAATCTAGTTGGATAATTTGGTGGTTTAAAGTTTAGTTGGATAATTGTGTGGTTATCCTGCAACAAGGTATTTATATTTGTGTCATGCATATAGTTTAAAATTTAGTTGGATAATTGTGTGGCTATCCTGCAGCAAATATAGCCCATTAAGACTTAATGTTTATATGTGTCATGCATATAATATAAAGTTTAGTTGGATAATTGTGTGGTTTAAGGTTTAGTTGGACAATTATGTTTCTATCCTGCAGGCAAAGATAGCCAATTAAGATTTAGTGTTTATATTTGTGTCATGCATATGGTTTAAAATCTAGTTGGATAATTGTGTGGCTATCCTGCAGCAAAGATAGCCAATTAAGACTTAGTGTTTATATGTGTCATTACATAATGCATGTTGGAGTTAGAAAGAAAATAATGGAAGTTAATATTAATATTTTCTTAATTGTTCGTTTTATTTTGTTGAAGGAGTAGCTTGCGGGAGCAATATTTTGAGAAAGGAGAATGTATAGGGAAGAGTTTCGGCGTATTTTTGACATGTACGAGGTTGATGTAATGTGAATATAGTTCGTTGGGCATATTCTCTTATTGTAGTCATAGACTTATAGTATAGTATTTGTATAAAATATCCTAATATACAAATTTGATCAGACTGTGATCTTATTATATGCAACTTTGTTACATTTTATAATTTACAGATATAGATAATTTTTTTTGAAACGTGTATGGTGTTATTAAATGTATTTCATGGATGTTATGAGATTGTCATATATAAACTTTTATTGACATTACAAATCTTTATTAAACTCAAATTGTGACAAAACAAACTGTCACAATTAGTCAATTGTCATATATAAAATTTCCGTGATAGTTAAAATGGTCAATATAAAGATTTCAATGACAGTTAAAAATTTTCAATATAAAGATTTTCATGACAGTTAAAACTATGAATATTGACCGTTAAAACTATCAATATTGACCATTGAAACTATCACTGTAAAAGTTTTCATGACAATTATAAATAATCATTGTTACGTTTTTCTTGACGTTTATCAGTAGTCGTTAAAAAATATTTCATGTCAATTTTGAACTGTCGATAAAAAATATTTCATGACAATTATAAACTGTCGTTAAAAAATATTTCATAACATTTATAAACTGTCGTCATTAAGTTTTTATGGAAGATCTATTCATGACAAAGTATAACTGTAGTTGTAAATGCATTAATGATAATTTTTCAAATTTGTCATCTTCTCCTCTCTCTTAATGCCTTAATAAAAAAAACTATCATGAATTATGTTAATGACCATTTTTAACTGTCACTCATAGGTTTCAATCACGAGACTAGCCAAGTCATATTTCATTAAATTAATAATAAACTTAATCTATTATTTAAAAGCCAAATTAAACATTTTAATTCTAAATTAAATAATCACCACTATCTATCTTATAATTTATAGACCTACAACTTTGGGCTCCGAGGAGAATGACCGAACTTGGTCAAGTGCAGACTTTAATCTATATTATCAAAAATTTGTAATATTAGGGCGCAACATATTATGTTAATATACAATTTAAATGTGTGGTGCAAAAGAAAAAAAAAGATTCCTATCTTTCATCCTTTTATTTAATTAATTTTTAAAATAAATTTTATCTATTTAGACTTTTATTAAAAAAGAGACTGCTACGTTCGTAATTTCCATGTCCCCCGTCCTTAGAATCTACTAGAACAAATAAATTAGACTTTTATATTTAAGAAATTTATATTGTAAATCATATTTTCTTCAATGAATTCAAATTCATACCGAAGATAAAAATACGAAATAATGACAAATATATAGTATTATAGTTTTTAATATTATTTCTTCCTGTAAGCTATTTATATCAAAACAAATTTAATTTTACTAAAAAAACTTTATTGAATATTTTAAATTTTATTATCGTTTTTCTATATTTATATAGACAATTTAATCATAGTTTTTTTTAACAAACTAATATTAAATTATGTATACATAAAGCCATAATTTTTTTGTTGTTTTTACAATAATTTTTAATAACTAACCCTAAAACTAATTTACATAATGCTTACGGTTAGTGTGCTTTCTTCTCTCCCGTAAATGATACAATAACCAAATTTCCAGCAACTATGAGAGCTTGAAATGATGATAGAAGCCTTAGAAAAATGGATATGAACACGTTTAGGTTCTATAAAAATTATTAAGAAAGACCCACCACCAAAGATAGATTAAAAAGAAATTGTTTCCTACCGAAAAGGCGAATCGATGAGTGGTCTTTGAAGGGACTTGGAAAAGCAATCACAATTTCTCTAAGGTGTGATTTACAAAAATATGATAGATGGTAGAGAGAAAATTTTCAGATTTGTTTAGTGATATTCTTGGAGGAAATTAGAAGAAATATACATATATGAAACTTAAATAGGAAGAATGATGGAAGATAAAACTAAAGATAAACTCTCCTCTCTTTCTATGGTTTGAGATAACTTAGGAGGTAAGTGCTATTAGGAAAATATACTCTAATCAATCCATTCTTGTAGTTTAGATTTTCCTTTTATATTTCTTATAATGTAGGAGATCTCCAAATCATTTCTTTACGAGACAATTTAACTGTACCATATATACATCAATTGACGAATGAATCATAATCTTCTTCTTCTATATTTTCTAGTTATATTATGGTATCTTGAGAAATTGCTATCTCGATCATCTTCATTTTTTTTTTCTCCTCTATTTCTCACCAATGGCTGAATCTACTAATGCCAACTCTGTTCTCTCAAACCCATTTAACATTGATAATAATCTTATCTCTATCAAGGTTGCTGCCCAAATTCCTCTCAAACTTATGTAGAAAATTACACCTCCTGGCATGCCCAATTTTATTCTCTGTTAATTGGATACAACCTCATGGGATATATCTGCTGATGGATCCAGCGAACCTCCTCCACCAAAAATCATAACCAGTGATGTCGAAGTTGTCAATCCTAAACGTACGTTATGGATCCGTCAAGATCATCTGCTTGGCAGTGCAATTCTTACTTCATCTCCGTCTATTGATCCTTTTATAGCCCCGACAAAATCTTCTCGTGAAGCTTGGGTCAAACTTTAAACTATGTATGCCAAGTCCTCTTGCGGTCGACATGTTGATTCGGGTGCTTCTCACCATGTCTCTTCAGATCTTCAAAATCTATCACTACATTCAGTTTATGATGGTTCATATGACATTATAATTGGTGATGATAAAACTCTCGAGATAATAAACACACAGGCAATGCTAATCTTCCTTCCCCTTCCTGTACGTTTCTATTGCAAGATGTCTTATGTGTTCCTCGCATGAAAAATAACATCATGTCTCAATAGAATTCTTACCGCCTTCTTTTGTGGTGAAGGATCTTCATACGGGAAACGTCTACTAGAAGGGCTGAATAAAGATGGAGTCTATGAATGGCCAACCAAAGAACCATCCTCTTCTCCTTCAATCCTCGCTCTTGCTGCTCTCGAAACCTCTGCTCAAGATTGGTACAATCGTCTCGAGCATCCATCCATCAAAATTTTGAACCATGTTCTTCAAACCTTTAATCTTCCTCTTTCTTCATCTTTAAAGAATTTTGTGCACTGCAATTATGGCAAAGGCAATAAATTGCAAAAATTGTCATTTTTAATCTCTTCATTGACTAGTTTAGCTCCTCCATAATTAATTTATTATGATTCTTGGGATCTGTCACCAATTCAATGCACTGATGGTTTCAAATACTTTCTCATATTTGTTGATCATTTTACCAAATATATTTGGTTATATCCCATGAAACAAATTTAAATATGCCGTGGAAAAATATTTTTAGCGATCAATTATATCTTTTTACTTTGATAATGGAGGTGAATTTCAAAAAATGTACAATTTCTTTGAAACTCATGGCATCTCTCACTTTCTCACACCTCCTCACACTCCTTAGCATAATGGGATTGCTGAACGTCGATATGCTCACATTGTTCAAACTGGTCTTACACTTCTCAGTCAAGCCTCTCTGCCTCTCACATTCTGATCTCATGCTTTTCTTACCTCTGCTTATTTAATTAATCGTATGCCGACACCAATTGTTTCCATCACCTCTCATTTTCAAACTTTTTTGTACCATTCCAAATTATGAAAAACTTCGGAGTATTTAGATGTTTGTGTTATCCATGGCTCAAGCCTTATGCGCAGATCAACTCCATGAATCTCTCCGGTCTATTTTTCCATCTTCAACCTTCACTCATTCACCTTCTGGATTATTACTGCCACAAACTTCTCCACAATTGTCACTGCACATTCAAATCATTTCTCACATTTAATTTCACATTTAATTCATGTAAATAATTTAAATATCACTTCACCTATTGTTTTTTTCCGCTCAAATTACACTCTTTTACATTCTCACATAAATACCATAAATAGAGTTTTTATAAATAAATTATCACCCTTTTGTACTTAAAATAAACTCTCTTTACATCTTCCCATAATTTATTAATTTTACCTCTAAAATTTATTACCTTTTCTTTAATTATAATAAATAAAGGATAAATTTCAAAAGTTTAATAATTTTAACGGTTAAATAATTTTTTAAAATAATATTATAAATGTAAATTGAAATTATGAATAATTCAAATGCATAAAATTAATCAAGGACAAAAATGTAAAAACTTGGAATAGAGAAGATTTGAATATGAAAATTTTTGTCAAATTTATTTTAAAAAATTTATACTCATTAGAAGATTAATATTAAATATTTTGGACATTTTATCCGAAAGATTAATATGAGTTCATCTTTTGTTATAATTAATAATTAAATTTTAATAGTTTTAAGATCTGCTTCCACTCCTAGGAGCCCTATCTTTTTACTTCATTTTTAATTCTTTTGTTTCGGAAAAGGTTTCTACCTTCTATTCTTAGTATATCTTAATTATTTTCATAATTTTACTTTTCTAAAGTTTCTAGATTTAGTGGAGTAGAATATAATAGTATAGCACACTAATTTTTTCCTATGAATTGCAAGATAGTATTTTTTTTTTTTTACACGAAAGTCAGCTTCAATTAAATACTAATAGGAACACTGCTAAATTGGTTATATGGGTAAGTTTCTCATCTTCAAGCATGATAGATAACCAAAAGGGAAAAGAGTCGGGAGTCCAACAATAAATACGAAGACAAAATATTAGCAGCATTTTTTATTTTTGCAAGAAAATCAGCTACCTGCTTATTTTGCCAACTAATGTGCTCAAAAGAGATGAGATTGGAACAATAAGCAAGACGATGTATATCCAACATCCAATTAATATCTTTAGTAAGCGTTGTTTACCAATTATATAACATTGTATTAAAATGGTAGATAAAGATGTTTCAACAAAACAATTCTCAAACATAGGTACCAAGTCTACTGGTTATAAAGTTGTTTTATAATTGAAAAAACTATTTTTATAATTATTTTTGTCATATAATTTAATGCTTGTTTATAATTCTTTAATATAAGTATATTTTAGAACAAAAATATAACACTACTACTTTGCAACTTCTACCTATCATGTGTATGGCATGRCACGTGTTACAAACTAGTATATAGAAAGGTACCGATGTCGAAGAAATTTTTTTTAGACAATTTTGTTCTTTATTTTAAAATTAATACCTAAATTATCCTTACTATATTATTATTTTTTATTTAAAATCCTCCG